AGTGACGAGGGCACTTTTCTTCAAATCAAAGCCATGAGCAGAGCAGATGTTTAGTAAAAGTGATTGGCTAGAAAATCATTTTCATATGTTTCGAACGACAAACTTCTTCCATAAGAAATTGAAAGTAGCTAAGTTACTTTTAGCTAGGAAGAACATACTACTTAAGGTCAACACGCCGTAAATGGCCACTTCAGTTTTTCGTGTCTGTTTCGGTATTCTCATCCCGCCCCCCCTTGAATTCGTTGTGCATCTGCCTTTGGTTTCTTAATCAAGGCGGAGCAATCATGTTCCGGCAATGGTTCGCTGAACGCATTTCCAACCTACTTAACAGTTCCTCAGGCCCTCAATTTCATAGACATCGGCGGTGGAGAGGGTTGGTGATGGACTGAGCTTTCACACATTAATATAGACCCTACGTTTTAAAAGGAGTCTCTTTTGTCCTCTTCAATTGCACATTCCGCAAAATTCCTTGATACCTTATTCCTCTCATTGCAACTGCTTACATGCTTCCGGTGCTCAGACTACAAGTAGAAAAAGCGATATGCATCACTGCGTCGGCTATTGCGAAACACTCGCTGGGACAAGAAGGTTATAGCTTCGCACTTTTCCTCGCATCCGCAAAACAAGAAGTGCCTTTTCCGAACATTTGAGAGAACCAGAGCTGCATTCTTTTTTCACATCTGACCCCATATTCGTGCATCCCCTCGACTTTTAGTTCGGCCTTTTTAAACTGCATAAAATCACTGTGTATAAACGCCAAATTGAAAGAAATTGGTCCAGCCTTTTAAAAAGAGTGCGTGCAAAACATGGAAAGAATTAAATGTAAGGCATAAACATGAACTGAATATCTGAAATACATACCAATCAGATCAGTGGCGTTTTCGTTAACCCTTTCAGAATATCTTTCTGTTTTATTTGCATCTTTCCAAAAATACGCGGTCTGTGTCTAAAAAGGTCATACATATTGATCGTTTAATAAACCTGTCCTTTAAGTATGTTATTGTAAAATATATGAATCCTGATTTAAAGTAAAACAGGAAATATTGAAGGATCAATAGATCATAGAGAATATCTTACAACAAAAAGTCTGGTAATGTGTATGTTTTTAAAGTGTTCGGACTTACGCTAAATAGGGTCATTCCGACAATGTTGTCTGGAAACATGTTCCTAGCCAAAAAATAGAGGTGTTAGAAAGACCGGCATATAAAAGGGCTATTTGTTAGCCTTTTATATTCCCTGTTATAGATTTTAAAATATGCATCTTTCAAAAAAGATAACTGAAATATGCAATACCTACGAAAACCAAAACACTAAAACTGCATGCAATACAACATTACGTACAGAAAAAGATCAGCAAAAACATCCGATGTAGTAGGAGTCAGTCCCGGATCCCGGACATCCGTTGATGCCGTCATGTTTACACCAACGCCTGTTGATAAATGGTACCATTGCATTTGCAGGTTAATAACTCTTTGCTAGAGCTTTGTCCACTAACGTGAAATTATATTTCCCAATAGGTTATTTGAAACGGGCCAACGCTCGAAGAAAATGCACTTAAGCTTTCTATTATCAATCGGAAACATTAACAGAAAAAAGCCACCTCAACTTTGACAATAAACTCGTCTCTATTATGGACCTCCTTGCACGCGTGTATTTGCCTTGAAACTGAAGTATTTCTATTTCTGAAGCTTTATAAGAATCCTTAGTCACGTTATAAAGTAGAACTGCTTATACAAGACTGCATATCTTAGTAGAGTAGTCGCTGGTTATTTAGCCCACCTTGGGCCCAGACTAAATTGGGCTTAATAAGCGGCTGGGTCTATTAACCGTGGGCTTAATAACCGGCGACTACTGTACTCTCACTCCAATTTGCACTCCACACCCCCTTGTTCAAAAAAGTATGAGCCAGAAATGATCTTCCTAATTCTCTTTTTTTTTTTGCCGGCAATGTTCATGTTCCTATTTAATATGCTCCCTTTATGAATAAGCGGCCTGTGGTTGATACAATCGTGATAGACAAGACTGTGAAGCTTAGTATTATCGCTCCAATTTTCAATCCATGCACTTTCGGTCAAGAAGATCCTAATGAGCCAGGAATGGCGATTACAGCCTTCCTTGACTTTGCGTAAGACTCAGCCTCTCTTTATAAAGAAGCATTCAAGCGCTGATAAATTCATGACATGCATGACAAAATACAGAAGTGCTATAACTCCAAGTCAAAGGAAATAAGCAACGTCGAAACATGACGAATTTACTAGTTTAACGTTCAAAGTTACTTCACAGTTCGTCGTCTTATTCATCCCTCCAACTTATTTTCTGGACGTGAAACGCAGGTGGATATTCTGGAATGTGTCTTTTTGAGCATCTACTTGTTCTGCAGGGATCATTGAAAATTATGCACGGGTAGATGCCTAACACCGCGAGTTCTGAGTCAAGAAAACTTTGCCTAGGGATTAGGAATAATAATGTCTTATTAGAACCTAGTCGTTTACTGGCAATTTTCATACACTTTTCAATAAGCCCACATTATTCCGCATGGTAGGCACCA